CTGCTGTTTCTATTTCAAGTAAAGCTACACAACAACACGGAGAGATTGTGTCTCGTTTGTGAAGGTAAACTGTGAAGGACACGGTCTCATCCATTGACCCTGTGATTGGTCTGCTGACTACGTCCTTTACGGAGTCTCACATCTCCGTTTTCACAGCACAATACGGCCGTTATTAAAAGGAAGAATGTTTACGAGAGAACGGATCAGATTGAAGAGCTTTTGTGGGATGAAATGCGTAAATATGAGCACTTGTACAAGCCGTCATTGGCGGACTATGAGGACGCCGGATGGCCTCTGATTCATGGAGGGAGATCTCCACCAACGAGGGGAACAAAGTTGTGGAGGAAAATACGGGACAAATGTGTCCTTGATGAAAAGCAGCAGTGTGGATGCACGGGGCAATAAAGTCTGTGATAAATAAATAAAGCAACCAACGACTTCCACACACAAAGACGTGACTCTCTAGGTCGTCTTCAACAAAACACGTGACTCCACCTGTTGTTCTGGAGGTGAATCGCTCTGCAACACACGCAAGACTTTACAACCAGGAAGTGAAACCAGTGCGTCGGCACGACGACGCAGACGCAGAAACATGCGCCGGCCTTTATTCAGGCTTATTACACCGATAGAGTGGTGGAATGAGGCGGATCAGCCAATCTGAACTCGACTTATGAATAAAAGAGGTAGAAACTTTACACGTGTACTGTCCCTGCTCTGGGTTATCACGTAGACATGGTTCTAGCCTCGTAGTTCAATGTTTTAAGGGATTTATAAGGTTGTTTATGACATTTTTGAAGGCAAATCTGGTTGGAGGTCCAAAGGGTCTGACTGTGACACTGCTGTTCACATCCCCTCTCCTAGCAACAGTCAACACTGGTTTCCATCACCTGTAGTCTGGAGGTGAAGGTGTTACAGCTCAGGTGGGTCTGCAGCCACAGAGCACTGTGGTCCAGTCCAAAACAAACCTCTTTGGGCTCTGACACACCAGGTCCACCATCAGCTGTTGGTTCTTCACTGAGCGTCTGTGGCCGACTGTCACCTGTAGCTTCAACAAGTCCACTCTCATCATCCAGGGAACTGGCTCTCAGTGCAAAGCACCAAAAGCAGGTGAAGCTGAACTCCTTTAAAACACCAAACGTTCCTCCTGTGATGATCCATCAAGACGCTTTGAACAGATTGTTTCTGACTGTTTGTCTCTTAATGATAATGTCTGGACTAAAGGACAAACACACACTGGAGGCAGATGACCAGCATCTAAACATCCAAGTGTTGTTTAAGAGCCCACAAACCTGCAGCGTGACCACGTTGACTCATATCAACCCACCATGATGCCGTCAACGTGTCAGGAGACACTGTCCTCTCTTACAACAACAAGACAAGGCTCCAGAGAAACAAGCCTTTCATCACCTTCCTCCCTGTTCAGGCTCATCCTGGCTACTGTTCCTCACTACTTCTGTCTTTGTTGATGGTCTCATGTGGGACACAAACAGTTTGATGAGTCTCTGGTAGTTTGAGGTCAGCTTGGTGTGTCAGGGTCTTATTAACCAGGCTGACAGTGGGACAGAGAAAAGGTTTCCAGCTCCTCTACAGACTGATGGTCTGTGGCTGCAGCCTCTTCATACCTGAGAGTCTCCAGTCTCCACTGTGGATCCTCCAGTCCAGCAGACAGCAGCTTCACTCCTGAGTCTCCTGGATGATTGTAGCTCAGGTCCAGCTCTCTCAGATGGGAGGGGTTGGAGCTCAGAGCCGAGGCCAGAGAAGAACAGCCTTCTTCTGTGATCAGACAGCCTGACAGCCTGCAGACACACAAAATATCACACATATCACATGATCTGAGGGAGCTGTGAGGACTAGAAGGTCACTGCAGGACTGAGATACTATCAGGTACAGAGGGGTCACATTAACATGGTGTTATGTAACGAGAGGCTGGGTCCTGGACGGCTGGGTCCTGGCCTTCATAAGGGTTAGAGACACAGCCAGTGGGGTATGAGAGAGACCAGACCGCCGTAGGAGGATATCGTGGAGGAAGACTGTATATTCTTGTGAGTTGGATTTATGATTCCCCTCCGAAGACGAGACATTATTTAAGATCGACCGGAGCCTGAGTTACCCTTGTTGGACTACTGTTTTTGTTGATTCCAGAGAACGTGAATAAAACCTTCTGTTTATATTTGAACCTGGTGTCCTCTCACTGCTTGAACTACCCCGGTGAGAGCGGCGGCGCCTCTCATGACATCACAATTAGGGATGGGGCCGATCCAATCCAGTATCGGTATCGGGACCCGATACCAGAGAAATTCGGGTATCGGATTTTCCGATACAACCTTTGGAGATTTCCGATATCAATGAGCCATGTCTGCGCTTTAACGTCGTCTGCTGAAATGACTCCAAAAGTGATCCCCGTCTGCTAGTCTGCTAGTCTGCTAGCCTGTTAGCTGGCTAGTCTGCTAGTCTGCTAGCTGGCTGCAAACTGTGTAATGGATTTCCTGAGCGGGTCTCATAACTGTCTCAATGAGCCGCGCCTCCGTTCAGGAATCCATTCCGTAGTTTGCAGCCAGCTAGCAGACTAGCAGGCTAGCAGGATAGCACTGAGGCTAGACTGTTTAGCACGGCAGCATCGTGGATGAAAAAAGGAATCGTCAAACTGCAGAGAGCAGAAATGCTCACATTCCTCAACAAGAACCTGCCGATGTAAAATTTGTTGAACACTACATCACTTCCTCAGAGTCAACTTTGAGACATTCAAGTTTTGTTTTCTTTTAAAGAATAGTTAGACTCTGGTGTTTAGTTTATTCCAGGTCATCTTAAGTGCTGTTCTGATGCACACTGTTTTAAAACTTATTGTGTGTGTGTGTGTGTGTGTGTGTGAGAGAGTAAGTGTGATTGCGTGTGTAAATGAGTGAGTGAGTGAGACTGTGTCAAGTGTGTATGTGTGTAAGATGTTTACAGTTATTTTATTGCACTTTTCTTCAGATATTTGACATGTTGTTCATGATACAAGTCAGTTTACTTGATTTGTGCTGTTATTTTTGTGAACGAGTGAGTGAGACTGTGTGTCAAGTGTGTATGCGTGTGTGTGCACTTGCACTTTTCATATTTCTAAATTTTTAAGCCTTATTAAAAATAAGTCTTTGACATTTGACATTCATGAAATTAAATAAATATTGACATGACAATCAATCTGAAACCCTTAGTTTCAAATTTGTTTTCAGAATTTTTTCTGTTAACAGGATTTCCTGTTTTTCAAACACAGCTCTGGTATCGGAATATTATCTGTATCCGCCGATATCCAAATTTAGGTATCGGGATCGGATCGGAAGTGAAAAAATGTGGATCGGTGCATCCCTAATCACAATGGTTACTGACACAACTAAACACCCACTAATGTACGTCAACAATCTGAGAATATTACCAGGGCTGTAGTGGAGGGTAAACGCACGTAAACGCCGTTTACGCACCTATAAATAGCGTTTACGCACCTCCAAGTTCCCTGCGCCTTGTATTCTTCCGTTGGAAAAATCCGAAATTAACTTGGTGTAATTTTAAAACAGCTAAGACTACGTTTCCTATTGTTGAACATATAAACGCCGTAGACTGAATAATTTTCATCTGCGCTGTATTACGGTCTGTGAGCATCCAATCAGTGCCTTGCGGCTGCAGCAGCGACCAATCAGGATCCAGGAGGCACATACACGCTGTGGATCAGCCCAGTGGTCCCCAACCTTTTTACCTCACGGACCGGTTTTATGACAGACAATATTTCGCGGACCGGTCGAGAAGGTCCGACAGGGGGGGGGTCGTCGCTGCGGGCGGAACGACCGACGGGGGGAGGGGGGGTGTTGTAGTCGCGTGCTCTGTGTTCGCTGGTCGTGCACGGTGAAAGAAAAACGCCTGGTGACGCGTAGATTAGAAAACAAGTCAGTTCTCAATGTGAAAAAAACATGCTGCATAGTCTATTTATGATGACATAGGTAGTACATGAGTGTTCCTTTAACTCATGTTGTCAGTGTAATTGACAGGCTGCTTAACTGGTTAACTCTTAAATTCAACATATTTGTTCAGGCAGTGAGAGGACAGGCAATGATGCAGAGAGCACAGGGAGAAGAGAAACACCAGGTCCAATAGAGAGAGGAGAAGCACAGAGGAACACGTTCTGGGGTTCATGGCTCCTCTGTGCAGGCAGGACCTGACGTGGAGGACAAGGAGGCCCTCTGGGCACTACTGTAAAAAGGAGACTCCGTATGTAGATAGTTCTTAATCTGCAATTGTGTTGTTGTGTTGTGTTGACATACTTTTATTTACTGTTTTCTTAAATTTAATAAACTACTAACAATTTATTCATTGTCATTGATTGTATATGACTTTTACTGATAACATAATGCAATAAGAAAGGACAGCCTTACAGAGTCGCAACGCTTTGTGTTGCGTTGCTTCGCATCGCGTCGAGGTCTGTATGATCACAAAATTCAGAGTTTACCCACCTCTAATTTTACCACTACAGCACTGAATATTACTGATAACTATGATTCATCTCAGATATTTCAATTTGTAACATTATATTGGAAATCAACACCATCACATGTTTATGAAAATGTTTGGAAATAACATTTTTGATTTGAATCATTCAAGCAGAAAGTATCTTAAGAAGGTCAGAAATGTAGCATGGATGTAAATAAAGACACCAGGTGAACATTGATTGAATCCTGACCTGAGAGTCTCCAGGTCACAGTGTGGACTCTCCAGTCCAGCACACAGCAGCTTCACTCCTGAATCCTGCAGGTTGTTGTTACTCAGGTCCAGCTCTCTCAGACTAGAGGACTGTGAGCTGAGAACTGAGGACAGAGCTTTACAGCTTCTCTTTGAGAGGTTACAGTCACTCAGTCTGAAGAAACAACAATGAATAAAATATAAACAATAAGTAGAAAAGATGGCAGCATGTTTAAGTCATGATGTATGCTTCTAACTCTCTGTACTTACAGAGCTTTGTTGGAGGCTTTGACCACTGGCAGGAGCCTCAGAAGAGCCTCCTCTGAAGCAGAGTATTTCTTCAGGTCAAACACCTCCAGATCGTCTTGTGATGACAGTAAGATGAAGACCAGAGCTGACCACTGAGCAGGAGACAGTTTACCTGAGGAGAGACGTCCTGAACTAAGGGACCGTTGGATCTCCTCCACTAGAGAACCATCATTCAGTTCATTCAGACAGTGGAACAGATTGATGCTTTTCTCTGGAGAGACATTCTTACTGATCTTCTTCTTGATGTACTGGACTGTCTCCTGATTGGTCTTTGAGCTACTTCCTGTCTTTGTCATCAGACCTCGTAGGAGAGTCTGATTGGGCTCCAGTGAAAGACCCAGGAGGAAGCGGAGGAACAAGTCCAGGTGTCCATTAGGACTCTGTAAGGCCTTGTCCACAGCACTCTGGTAGAGACGCTTTGGTTTAGTTTGGACTCCAAAAAACCTCCCTGTTTTATAAAGTCTTTGATCTTTTAACAGCAGATTGTCACCAGAGTTGATGAAGGTCAAATGGACATGAAGAGCAGCCAGAAACTCCTGAACACTCAGATGGACGAAGCAGAACACCTTGTCCTGGTACAGTCCGCTCTCCTCTCTGAAGATCTGAGTGAACACTCCTGAGTACACTGAGGCTTCTGTGATATCGATGCCACACTCTGTCAGGTCGGATTTATAGAAGATCAGGTTGCCTTTCTGCAGCTGATCAAAGGCCAGTTTTCCCAGAGACTCGATCATCTTCCTGCTCTCTGGACTCCATTCTGGATCCGTCTTAGCTTCTCCATCGTACTTGACCTTCTTCACTCTGGACTGAACCACCAGGAAGTAGATGTACATCTCAGTCAGGGTCTTGGGAAGCTCTCCTCCCTCTCTGGTCTTCAACACCTTCACCAGAACTCCAGCAGTGATCCAGCAGAAGACTGGGATGTTGCACATGATGTGGAGGCTTTGTGAGGTCTTGATGTGAGAGATGATCCTGCTGGCCTGCTCCTCATCTCTGAACCTCTTCCTGAAGTACTCCTCCTTCTGGGGGTCAGTGAACCCTCTGACCTCTGTCACCATGCCGACACACTCAGGAGGGATCTGATTGGCTGCTGCAGGTCGTGTGGTGATCCAGAGGCGAGCAGAGGGAAGCAGCTTCCCCCTGATGAGGTTTGTGAGGAGCACATCCAATGAGGCCGACTCTGTGACATCAGTCAGGTCCTTATTGTTGGGGAAGTCCAGAGGAAGTCGACACTCATCCAGACCGTCAAAGATGAACACAACCTGGAACTCTTCAAACCTGCAGATTCCTGCAGCTTTGGTTTCACTGAAGAAGTGATGAACAAGTCCCACCAAGCTGAACTTCTTCTCTCTCTGCACATTCAGCTCTCTGAAGGTGAATGGAAATGTGAACTGTATGTCCTTGTGGTCTTTGTCTTCAGCCCAGTCCAGAGTGAACTTCTGTGTTAAGACTGTTTTCCCAATGCCAGCCACTCCCTTAGTCATCACGGTTCTGGTTGGTTCCTCTCCTCCAGCTGAGACTTTGAGGAGGTCTTCTAGTCTGATGGTTGTTTCTGGTCTGTCTGGTTTCCAGGATGCTGTTTCAATCTGTCTGACCTCATGTTCTTCATTGACCTCGGCAGTCCCTCCCTCTGTGATGTAGAGCTCTGTGTAGATCTCATTCAGAAGGGATGTCTTTTCAGCGATCCCCTCAGACACACGCTGGAACTTCTTCTTCAAGTTGGATTTGAGTTCACGTTGACAGTTGGTGATAATCTCTGAATGAACAGAAAAAGACACAAACCAGATAGTGCTTTACTTTAATGGTGTAATATTTCCCTTGGATTAAGCTATTGGTTGTATTTTTCTGCATTCCTATCTGAAGCTACACGAATATTGACTGTGAGAACTTGACAATCGAGAACTATGACTGAAATATTTGAAATCTGATATCTGAAATATGCTGGTCAAAGTATCTCAGTTTTACCTGCTTTGTGCTTTTCTGAGTTGATTAAACATGGCATACTTCCTGGGTCCATGTTGTCTGTTTTGCTGGTGCCTGTAGTTAAAAATAAGACTGGTAAATGAACTAGTATAGATAACTATAGACCTTTTGGTTTTGCTAGTATACTATCCAAGGTACTAGAAGGGATTCGTATGGATAGGATTGCAGAATACATAGCATCAACAGATAATCAGTTTGGTTTTAAGAGCAAGCATGGAACTGATCTGTGTATTTGTGCACTTAAAGAAATTGTCCATAGGTACAGATGACGCAATAGCACAGTATTTATGTGTTTCCTGGATGCATCAAAGGCTTTTGATCGTATCAATCATGGGAAACTGTTTGTTAAACTACATGAGGTGGGGTTCCCTTTTACCTAATTAGGATACTGCAGTTCTTTTACTCTCACCAAACTATGCAAGTGAGGTGGGGGACGAGTTTGTCAACCCCGTTCTATGTATCCAATGGTGTGCGGCAGGGCGGGATTCTGTCTCCGCTCCTATTCAATCTGTACATGGATGATTTATCCAGGGAGCTAAAGGGCTGTAGAACTGGCTGCTTGGTGGGGGATAGTCTACTTAATCATAT